AAATAATTTCATGTTGCAAGTTTGGCCGTAGTCCAAAATGCTTGCAATAAAGAGAAACCGATGAGTATTTCGGGGCCTTTTAAAATGATGCATGAATAATGTTTATATCTTTCTATAGTAATAAATACTGTATACATAAACATCTATATCGTTATTGACATAAAATAGGCGTTTTTGAACCGAACAAATAAATTAATTAAGCAATACGTCGTTTTATTACATATCCTAGGATATCATAATCACTTGTAAATGTCAATTATGCCTACAAATTATCTCCACCAGCTTCATCTAACAATAAGATAGACTAGAAACCGTCGATAATATTTTCTGATGCACAGCTTCTTAAACTTTTGTCCTTCGCGACCCCATTTACGATTAAAAATATATATGTTTAAGAATTTATTGAGAACATAAAAAACAAGGAGTGATGTTTTAAAATTATATAAATATTTGACAATACAATCTCTCGCGACCCCGACCAATGGTTTGAGAAGCCCTGTTCTGATGCATTAACTGTCATTTTAGAGATAATAACCCGCTTATTTGTGTGACTAACATCTGCTTTTTTATAATGGGGCTCGTTTGCAAGAACAAGCTGGTGCGCAATATCTTCAATATTATTTTCATATTTCGCTCATTTTTATTGTAAATTATTTAATGTATAATATAGAAGACTGGGTACGATTGTGCCAGGGTACGGTAGTGACAGTCGTCATAACATCTAAATTATACAGATTTTGATATACGGTCCATCCAAGGGAGAAAGGTGAAGTATGTTTGCTCGAACAAGTTTACATTATTGCTTTCAGTCAGTGCCTTACATCAACATAATCTATGTACCGCATTGCTTTTAAAGAGTTAAAAGTGTTAAAATGTTCGAATTCTTTCAATAATGACTATTAATTGCATACAGATTATTTTTCTGTAAGTTGAACATTAGTAGTTATTTACCAGCAATTAATTTTTACTTAGATAATTTCGCTCAGTCATAATGAAAATTTGTTTTCAAAAGTGTGCGGTAGGTACAGTTGTGGCAAATTTTGGGGTACGGTTGTGCCACTCGCTCTTTTGTTGTATGATTTGATTTTAAGACTAATCGATCGTATTTAATGACAATATTTTTTAGACAAATGTTCAAATTACTATTTAATTCACTTTTCTCTCAGCTAACTGGTAAATTAACAAAATTATTGCTGATAAAAAAAAGTGACAGAACCGTACCCCGTCTCCCTATCACGTCAAGACTTCTCTAACTTATTAACTGTCATTTCTATATTGGTAGCAAGCTAATTTGTCCGACAAACACCTAATTTTTTATTATGAAAGACCTCCTTTGCAAGAACAAGCTGATGCTCAATATCTTTTACAGGATTTTCACACATTATCAGATATTTAAGTCGAACTACATTGCGAAATCGATACAGACACTTCAACTATTATCGTTCTCTCCTGGTTTGTTTATAATTTACTTGGGTTTTGGTTTATCAACGATATAAGTTGGACTCTTTATTTGGTTGCACCGAGCATAGCAAAAATTTAAATTTGTGCGTCTTTTTTTGGTTTAGTTTTAAAAAAATTGATGGCAACTTTTCTGTTATTATTTCATTTTTTAAAAACTAGAACTGGTCAATATCACAAATAAATCATAAAATCTTCAAACAACTATATAGTACACAATGACACTATACTTCACCCCCTGAAGTGCATTACCCCAAATATCATTTATTCATTTCTCAACGATTATATTTAACCAACGATACAAAAAGTTCAAACAAATGGAAAATAATGTTTAAGAGTATATCGATTGCATATTTAGTAAATCAAAATTGTTATGTTGATTTAATTTTGAGTTAATTATGTTAACTTTTTGTGTAAAAATAAAGTGATTTATTTTTATGATATTTAAGAAATATTTTAAAATATATGACATTACGATATAAATAATCATAATGACGATATAATATTTTGCAATATTTCAGGCATTTATAATTTTATTAATTAAAATATTAATTTTTAATGCATGTAAAATAACGAAAACAAGTAACTTGCAATTCGTTATATACAAATAAAATTGTGAAAACTTTTGTTTTATCATAGGGCTACATATTTCCCATATATTTAAGTATTATTCATCAATTTAAAAATAATTCAGTAATAAATCCTTAAGATTAAAAGCAATTTAGGATGAGGTTCCCAAACATCCGCCATGTTGTCATATCAAGGGAATCGGCCCTATTGTCAAAAACATTGAACCTAGAATAATTTTAAAGGGCTCACCTTAAATATAATGCACCATTCCTGAATCGTTGGGTCAATGCACAACACTAGCACAATATTATATCACGAAACAAACTTTGTTTATAACACTTTTATGTGATACACAATTTTTATTGAAAACTGACACAAGATAAACGCGTGTGAAATATATCCATTGCACAAGACGACTGAACGCGACTGACGCGATTGTACACTCGCCAATTGGGTTGCCAGATGCATAGTAATTACCTAATTATTCAAAGATGGGGCGACTGGTAGAATAGTAACCCTTTTTAACAGAAACATCACGAACGGACAACAATTTCACATACACATGTGTTATAACTTAGATTTTATCTTAGAATAAATAGGTTCAAATATTTTATTTACTCTATTTTATTTATATATATATTATGATTTAAATAACTTAGAAGTATAATTTAAAAAAAATAAAGTAAAATATTTAATTACTAGTATCATTACTAGTAAAGTAAAACATTTAAAATAATTTATAAGCACGTATAAAAAAATCTTACTTACTCTAGAAAATTACGAGCTATGATGTGAAAATCAAAGCAAGTACTTCGAAATAATTTGTTATGATAAAAGGAAATAAGATTCAATACTTTTTTTATCTATGATTCTGTTCAACAAATTTTACAATTGAAATGAGATCATAATAAAATATGGCAACACTATTTTCGACCATTTAACTGTAGAATACATCTGTCTCCTTCTTTTCTTTTTAGACATATTGCCCGCGTGCACTTTTGACAATTAAAATATCAACAAATAAAGCAGTAATATAATATTTTAACAAGTGAGTAATTTATTTATATATATTCAAGTAATCTAGTTTTAATTACATTAAATGTTTGATTCGATCGATTAATTTTTTTTTAATTTAATTTTAGGTTATGCATGTTTGCTCACATAAATTTATTTATACATTTTAATATCTTCTGCTATTAATGTTATTATAATATCATATTTATAAATAACGTTTAATATGTGAAAAATCTTTTAGGTAGAAAAAGTGTGAATAACAAATTGAAACATGCCACAAAATGAATATATTGAGAGGCACCAGAAATTATATGGTCGCCGTCTCGATTATGAAGAACGTAAAAGAAAACGCGAGGCAAGAGTGCCCCACAAACGAGCAGAAATGGCACAAAAATTAAGAGGTATTAAAGCTAAAATCTTCAATAAAGAACGCAGGAATGAAAAGATTCAGATGAAAAAGAAAATCAAAGCACACGAAGAAAAGAAAATCAAGAAGAATACAGAAAAGGTTGAAGATGGAGCATTACCCGTTTATCTTTTGGACAGAGGTGTACAGAATCGAGCCAAAGTACTCTCTAATATGATCAAACAGAAACGTAAAGAGAAGGCCGGAAAATGGGATGTGCCTATTCCAAAAGTCAGAGCTCAGGCAGATGCTGAAGTATTCAAAGTTTTATCATCAGGAAAGTCCAGAAGGAAAGCGTGGAAGAGAATGGTTACAAAAGTTACTTTTGTTGGTGAAGGCTTTACACGTAAACCTCCAAAATTCGAAAGATTTATCAGACCTATGGCTCTTAGGTTCAAAAAAGCACATGTTACCCATCCTGAATTAAAAGCTACTTTTTGTTTGCCTATCATAGGTGTTAAGAAAAATCCAAATTCTCCAATGTACACGAGTCTTGGAGTAATAACAAAAGGTACTGTTATAGAAGTAAATATTTCAGAATTAGGTTTAGTAACGCAAACTGGTAAAGTTGTTTGGGGTAAATTTGCTCAAGTAACGAACAATCCTGAAAATGATGGATGTATAAATGCTGTTCTGCTTGTTTAAACTATAAGTGTAAATATTTTAAATAAAATATAAATAACAAAAGACTTGTTTTCACTTTAATTAAATAAGTATACTTTAATTTTTTTTTCAGTGTAAATTGTCCTAAATATGTTTTTCTCCAATAAACATCTATGAAACTCCTTTCTGAAAATTCACTTTGATCCAATAATGTACACGAATAATTTTTGAAAATCATTTAGAATTTTTGAGCATGCATTTGTCAATAAGCATCTACATAATCAGCCACTTGCATCAAAATTATGTCTTGAAAATTTATTAACAACATTTAAATCCTAATTATGAGGTTTTTAATGGTCCATTCATGTTCAGGAATTGTGCTGACTGTTTGCAACAATAATAAAAAAAAATTTTAAACACATTAGAATTATTTCTTTTACAAATGTAATAAATAAGATAAGAAAATGTGTGGTTTTATGTGTATTACTGATATGCTTGATAACATGTTTTCTACATACTCTTTTACATGTACCTGCTGGAGTTTATAGAATAAAATACAACACTGCGTTTAATTAAAAATGACTAATTAAAGCTTTTAATTCAATTGCATTATTTATAAATAATATTTATATTTATTAATATATTTGGCTTTATATAAATCTATATAATAGAAAAACACATAATAAATTTATGTATCTGTGGAATGGTTATAACAAGTTGCTTGAGAGCCAATATTTACTGTAAGCTTTTCATAGATATATATGGAAGATATATTATCTATGGAAATTTATATAATGTTAGCCTTTACAGTATGCACATCTTTCTTTTTTGTGTAGTGCGTGATATTTTATTACTCACATACACTACTACTATAACAGAGTGCCTAATTTATTCACGAAACTATTTCATTAAACAAAAATTGGGGCACATTACAAAATTTGTTGTTGGTTCATTTACACATTCGATCATTTCCTGTATCAAAGGCAGCTAAAAATGAATAAATAAAATCAATTATAAAGTTGAAACATTGTTTAATTCGATACGATTCGCAAGCTGAGATCCTAAAAATTTTCATATTCAACATAACATGTGTATAGTCTCTGCCAATTTAAATCAAAAATATTTTGCAATCATTCTATAATACAATGTTTCAATTAAATCTTAACATGCAAACTTTTTAATGACTGCTATTCAAAACATGAAAAATAGTGTTTAAATTAAACGGTAAAATATTGATAAATGATGCAACCTCTTCCACAGATTTATATATTATAATACAACTTATAAAATCTCTTTGAAATATGGCATATACTTGATAACAACTTATTCTCATTGTATAACAACTAAACTTTTATAAACTTGCAGTTATTATTTTAAGTACACAATATAGCATGATACACATGATTTTAACTCGAAGCATTTTTGAAATGTAAACATTACTCTCATCCTATATCATATATCATTATTGCTAATAATTATATACATAATATATAAATATATGACACAAATAAATGTAAAAAGCCACATGTGATAATAGACTTAAAGCTAGAATGACTTAGAAACAACTCTGCATGAAAAATAATTTCAAATAACATTTATAATAATAGCTAACATAACTGAATTTGCCAGAAAATTAAGCATTTTATGCAGATGCTTATTTATTTGATGATTTGCTACTCTGTTTTGCCACTGTAATTTTGGCTTGCATAAAAATGATCTATTTAAGCAGAACATGTTAACATATAATGATACCATATACATCAAAGATGTTTTACGATATGTGAAAATAATTTTTGCAAATGCAAATATTTTTCTTATGCATTTACAAATTTAAAGTGTATTAAATAATGTTAATGCCGCACTTTTTGAATGTGTATGCTGATACGTAAATGTTTAGTTATATAATTATGATAATACTTGTTTACTTTCATCAAAATTAAATTTTTATTCATAATTTCAATTCATATAAAGCTATTTTACTGATCCGTGCAAAAAAATTCAAGTAAATTTTTAAGTTGTTTGATATTATAACCTTTATTTTATTGAGTCAACTCAGATTTACTTTAGTTAGATTTAATTGTAAATTAATTTAGTGTTACTAATTAAGTATTGTATCGCAAATTTTCAATTTTTAAAGTTTTATTCAACATTCATATTCTTTTATGCAATTGCATATACTGAAAATCATGCAAAAATATATACATACAAACACACAAACATATATATATATATATATATATATATATATATATATATATACACGTGTATGTGTAATATGTGTGTATGTGTAATCAATTATAATAGCATCAATGCTTGAGAAGATTTGTTTAGAAAAACCATTCTTGACCCTGTGAAAGTTTTCAGTACTCGGAACTTTATACATAGAGTCCTTTGCAACCATTCTAAGCATTATTTTGCGTAAATGTCAATATCACAAAATATGATAATAGTTTAGTATCAATTTGTGATATTACCATTGTATGTAATATCAGTACATACTGTCAAATCTTTAAATTTTTTATAAGATACCTTAAATATATGTTCAATGCAAATTCATTTAAAATTAGCTGATAAAATAAATGTTAGATACATTTTTTATTTGTCACACAGCGCAATATTCATTGTTTGTTACTTAATTACTTATCAATATGCACATAATTTAATTAATTTACCTTGTTAGATCAAGAACACATCAATATAAGTTTATTTTATAAAGTTTTTTCTGGCCCTTGAGAAGGCGATATACATTTGATTCGTCCATGTACTTGAAACAGATTCAGAATGATCCATTTGCTCTAAGCCGAGAAGTTGTTGTTCAAGTTTGCGCACTCGATTTTGATATTTTCTTTTGCATCTTTCCAAGCACAGATTTAAATTACTGCAAAGTTAAAAAAATTAATAACACTCAATGTGTAAGTCTGAAAAAAAAAATGATATTATATTTACATGAAACACGAGTGATGATTCACATCACATTTGATAATAATATACAAACCCTGATATATACTTGATATAGATTTATACCACAAACTTCAGTAAAGAAGAATAGAAATTACATCAATCGATATAAAAGAAATCAATATAAATAAATGGCTAACGCCTCAATTTTACATATTCAATTTTAAATAAAGATACCAAATTTCATACATGTTCGTTTCCTTAAGTTCTAGCATTGCGTTCTGAGCCTGTATATTTCTTTCTTCTGAAGATTTAGCTGCTGCTTCTAAAGATCCGGCGAGACTTTGCAGTCGCGTCTTAAGTCTGGCCTCACGTGCCAAAGCATCAAGTAATTCTCGCTCAACTCCGGCCGCGTGTTCTGCTTCGGAGTAAGATGAACGATCCTTAAAAATAAACATATTTTTGGAATAATAATTATTTTTCATAATGTTGCTATACAATAAAATATTCAAACTCATAAACACGCTTAACATTAGTGTTTACCTTATTTTGCCTTGCTAACGAGAGCAAGGCCTCTGTATCTGCCAATTGCGCCTGCAAATGACGCAAGGCGGCTTGAGCTGCTCGATGAGAAGCTTCGAGTGCACCATGCCTCAGTTCAGCAGCTTTACGTTCACGTTCAGAGGCAAACAACTGTGCTCGGAGATCTGACCTTTCTTCACGCATTGCCATTAGTTCCTGAAAATTTATCAATTGTACACTTGATGTCTCATAAATATTCACAATACATATAATAATACTTTTTAAGAAATATAAAAAAATTCTACCAAGATATGTTCATTTCAAAATAATGGGTAAATACTGAAAACGTCGTTTTATTCGATTAAATTTATTTTTACATGAGTTGGCTAAAATAGCTAAAAAATTGAGTAAAATTTTCGTATCATTGTTACTCAAGTATTTTCATTCAAAATTTGCAATTCCTTGCATAATAATGTGGTGAGGTTAAGTGGAGTTATATCCTAACAGATCCAGCTAGGATGCGATAAGCCCAACT